CCCGCACCCGCGATGTCCCCGCGGCCCGGGCCGCCGCAGAGGGTGCCCCAGCCTCCCCCACCTGCGTGGGCAGCGCGAAAAGGAGCATTCGAGGGAAAACAGGCAGCTTTAGCGAGCGAACTTGCTGGGTTGATTAAACCCAAACTGAGATAATCGCATATAGTTCAAGCCAAATTTATTTCAGTCCTAATGACTTTTAGCTAGAATAAAATACACCTATTACATGAAATTTAGAGAGTCTCTGCTTTACCTATCGCCTTTTTTCACAAAACCAGTTTAGTCTTTTGTGAGGTTGAGCAATTAGAGCAATACGGAGCAATAAAACTTCTCCGGTGCTGCCTGCTTTTGCTTCTTTTGCCATTAATGATGGCACGCTGGAGACTTTCTGCATATTTTTAGGGATATGAAGAACATAAAATACACCGGTCACCCCTTGGAGTGCACAAGGAGACCAGCAGAGGAGCTTCATCTTGTGTGTCATATAGAAGTAGGAAACTGTCTTCCAGGGAAAGCACTGGGTGCTGACCAAAACGACAGCAGCTCCCAGGCACTGCACATTCCCTGGTACTCCTAGATTCACAGGCCTTGGGAGTGGAATAGCTTCGGAATGAGAGATGTCTGGAAGAGCCAGCGCAGAACCCGCACTCTGCTCGGTTAATCTGCGTGAAGGTGGTTTTAAAAGCTTCTTAGGAAAGGGAGTGTATTTTTATCTGCTTACCCTGCACTGTTTAGGTTTTTATGGCACTGTTGTCATGAGCCGATGCAAGTTGTCATCAATTACAGCTCCCGCAAATGAGGAAAGAGACTTGATCATTTGCTCTGACCAAATACGCAGTGTGGATTCCTCTGTATTCATGCAAAATGAGCACTGATGTTTGCAGAGGAAAACCCAGAGGAACCCAAGTGCTCAGGGGAAATTACTATCATCTTACTCACCACCAAGCAACTGTGGCTATGATTAGAGCACAGGTACTGCAAAGAGCTCCATTTATTGAATGTGGATGAAATGAAGGAGCAGAAGAGGCCAGGGCAAATAAAAAATGTGCAGCTACACCTGTGCAGCAGAGGTGTAGCTAAAGTAGTAGGGCCAAGGGAATATTTGAGAATATCAGGAATAGTGAAAAATGTTATTTCAAAATGAGAAAGCAAAGATACAATTGATAAAATAATACTCCAGTGTGAGAGGCAAACAAGAAGCGGTCAAGGAGGGAAATTTTTAATGCTCTTGCAATGCAACAATCCTCTGAAGTCAACAGGGAAACACAATAGCAGCGTTACCTGTTACAGCCCATTTTTCCCGCTGTGCCAAGTTCCAGAGTGATGTCAGGCCTAGATACTATATGACATTCCGGATGCCAATTCAGTGATATAATACTGGCTGCAATTCCTGAGGTCCTGATTCTGGTCACTACAGAATGAAAGAAGATATTCGCGATGTGGGGAAGGCAATAGAACAACAGTAATTACACAGAGAAAAGGCTAGGGGATAAGTGATACCATAAAGTTTGAGAAAAGGGGCATTTTAAGAAAAACAAACTTAGGGAAGCACACTGCATGCTAGCAGCCATCTGTGTAAAGTATGAGAGAGAGACATGATCCAGGCTTTCCAGGATTTAACTACTGAAAGGAGCCTGGATTACTTTGCCTCATAGGACCCCATATATCCCTGGGAAAGAAGAGGGGTCTCGAGCCTACCCCAGGTTTTGTAGTCTGGGTTCAAGTCACTTTTTACCAGAATCCTTAAGTGATCATGGCTTTGTCAATTTACATTTCCCAAAAGCGCCTGGAACTACAAGTATCTGTAAAGATCTTATTGCACTTCTAGGAGTCAAGTGCCCAGATTTCTGCTAGGCATCTGCTTTCAGTGCCAGGTGCAATAATACCTTTACAAACCAGTCCTGTCATCCAAGATCTCTCTCACTCTGTTTTGTTCATTTCTTATAAATCCCAGTTGATTTATACTGTTGCAGAAAATGGAGCACGTTACACCCTCTTGTTCATATATGCCTACTGAATGGAGTTTGAACTCATTTTTTTCCCCCTCCAGGAAATACCCTACGGTGTTGAGCAGGCACCAACCTGACCAGCATGTGTACGGATGTTTGGCACCTAATCACTGGTGTTTCAAAGATCTTAAAGGATGTGAGACTATGGGCAAAACTCTTCATTTTTCATACGGATGCAAGAATCCTGAAGAGCAGAGATTGTGCTGACCAGCTAGGCAGGACCCTGCCTGGAGAGCTTTGTATACAGCTATAGACTTTCCATGTAAAAGTCTGATGGATTTAAAAAGTCATGTACATTTAGAGTCAGAAAGAAGAGCTTGCAGATACGGGGTGAAACAGCTGTGTCAGGGTCAACTGTCCCCACAGAATAATAATTGTGGTATCTATCCATGGTCATTTCAATACTAGCTACTCATGTTAGGCAGTGTGTTCAGGTCCTAACACTGTTACGGTCTTGTGGACTCAGCTTGGACTGAGAGCAGAGCATCTCCTCGACCTCATAGATACAGAGAAGCTGCATTGCTCCTGCAACTGCCCCCATTCCCCCAAAAAAGAGCCGGGGCCACCGCTCCCCAGGGCCAGCACTGCTGGCATTATCACCACGCTGAAATCGCTAAGAAAAACAACTGGCTGGAGCAAAGGAACAGGTCTGTGCTGCACAAACACAGCTTCCAGAGGAGGAACAAAGGCGAACACAAGACTGTTCCCTGGGTCCTAAATTCCAGCGATGGGCTTTGCCTCCTGCAGTTATTTTTTCCCCTTTTGCCTCTGCCTGCAGGAATACATTGTTCGCCTCATTGTGAGGAGTTCCAGGCCGACATGACGAAAGGGACAAAACAGCTCGAGAATAGAGACGTCCCGTGCAGCATTCATGAAACACGCTGGTTGGAAACGGGGAACGAACAAACAGGAAAGCACTTTAACCATTGCAAAGACAGGATCCCAGCGTGTTCTTGGCACTGTCGGGAACAATGGAGTGATGTCACGAGCCAGAATTCCCCGTGGCCGAGAGAAGCCCGGCAAATAATTGCAATTCTTGTCTTGGGTACATTAGGAAAACTTTTCTGCACTCAGTCATCCCCGCACTGAGTCTCTGGTAGGAAGTACAGGAAAGGGACATTGTGAAGTGAAGTTTCCTTTGGGACATCCCTCCCTGCCCTCAAAGCCAATGCATCAGTTGTTAAAAAATCTCTGCTTTCTGCTGACGACAAGGCATCTCAGTGGAGCAACGCTGCTGTCAGGAATATGCTTCATCCAATGCATAAGGGTGCACGCATGGGTCCAGATACCTGTAAGGGCAAAGGGGAAGAAGCTTCATGAGTTATCCAGGGTTTTGAGCTCACGTAGCACTGATGCCAAGCGTTGCCTTTGCAGTTTCAAATATACTGAGAATGGTGGGGAGCTTAGGAAACACAAACCTCCCTGAACAAGGGCATTCAGAGAGCTTCCACCTAGTTTTGGGCTACAAAATGACCTGAGCAATACCAAGCCATCCTCCAGACCTCAGCCTCTCTGCTTGATTTTGGCATGAGGACCACTCCATGGAGGGCGACCTGAAGAGCATATGAATCTTTTGGTTGTTATAAGGCTGGTGATTACTGCAAATGCAGACTGCTTCCACACCACGAGACTTACACTGCAGATGAGCCTCAATGCTGGAGCACAGCAAGTCTTGACTGTTGCTTTTTTTTTGCACGAATGTTTGTGCTAGTATGAGGGAGATGTAGGACTGCTTGACATTTCCCTATCAGCAGCAAATAGCTGTAAGGAGACCAAGCCAGCCTTAAAAAAAAGGAACTATTAAGACCTAAATGCATGCACACTTTGCAGATTTGTCCCTATTCTATGTTTGTTTGTGGTCTGCATTTTCAATGCCTAAATATACCCAGAGGGGCTGTTTATCCTGTACCAGTGTCAAGATCTTTGCATGTTTTCCTGCTCTAGGAGTTTCCTGAGAAACCTTACACCATTAGCAGATATGGAGAGAGGCAGCCTGGTCCCAGGCATTGGGCCTGCCGTTGGAGATGACCAGCCCTTTCCTGGGTGGTGGACCTGCCTTGAGGTAGCAGACAGAATGAGGCATCTCAAATGCTGCAATACAATAAGCTGCTAATGAAAACGTAGAGGGCAGTGAAGGGAGATGTGATTCTCAGGTGCTCTGGAAGGGGGAGAAATGAATTGAGCAGCTTAAGATCCATGCAATTTACTGGGCTGTCTGCCTACAGCCTGAGATGGTTATCACTGCTATACAAGTGTCATTAGCTTTATAGCAGAATAACTAGTGCTTTAGTAAAAGAAACGGGGTGTGGTGGGAATGGGAAGAATTGCCTCTAGGACACTGGTATGAATCAAGTTCAGGAAGGTACTGGCTAAAATGGAAATATTGTGAATGCGTGATGAGCTTTGGAAGAGACTTTCAGCCTCATGCACCAGGAATCTCATATTGTGTTGGATGTGGCTGAGACCTGCAGTAGGATCAGACCCAACCGTATCCCTTCTGACAGGCCTTGGCCCCCATCCTTTCAGTGTCTTCTACTGGCCACTGCACAGGTGACATATTGGAACACAGATGTGATCTA